TGATATGATCTATTAGAAGTTGTAATTATAATATTTAAGCTGTTAACCATTTTTATAAATTTAAAAATTACAACCCAACAATATAAAACATATGAATGTTGTCAAGATATGAAAAATATTTAATTACAAATTATTTAAGCTACATGTGTCTAGGAAGAGGAAAGTCAAACAATGGTTGATAGGTATTTCATTTATGCAACTGCTTTCATATGTAATCTTTTCTAAATGCATGTGGCAATGCTAAAAAGAAATCTACTTTGTGAGTATCTTTCAATATATACTCACTAGCAGAAAGCATTTTATCAGTCAAGAAACCGTTGAGTTGCATAATTTCATTGAAAAACGACATTCTTTTATCAATACTCTCAGCTTCTTCTTGAAAAAAAGATGAAATACCATTGATTTTGTGTGTAGCCTTACAATATGCAACTCCTATATTGCCATATGAACAACCAATTCAACTATTTCGTTGTTGCTCCTAAAATGTTTTTTTCTTGACAACATTCTAGTGGTAGATGGAGTTGCTGCACAAGCTGAACCTATTTCTTCATTCTCCTCTACTCTTTCCTTCTTATGTGCATTATGGGACTCAATCTCTAGAATGCTAAAGTTAGTATCCTCACCAGCATTCAATGATTCAACTACATCAGCTACTATTTCAGCTTTTTGACCAATTGCTCTATCGATTCTAAATATCGTGACAAAATCATTAAAATGAGAAAAATATTTATTTTTTAACTTTCTTGCATAGGAATGAGTCTATACAAAAGTTAAATTAAATACATGTCAAATATTTTGAATAGAAATAAACATTAAAGTAAATTCTACGTTCATATTATACTACTTACTTGAAGTCACTCATCAAAAACAACTTTCTTAGTAATGACATATTTCTCCTAATCATTTCAGCCAAATCCACTTACATCTTTTATATCACAAATTGCATGATATTGTCTTTTGAGTGGCTTTACATTTGACTTGATATGTGGGTTGGCTTTAAATTGGGATTTGGGAATTATTGACTCCAACATTCTTTCAAGATGTCTTAGATATCCAACACTGAACATTTCATTATCGGCTTTCCATCTAAGATCATCTATCAAAACATGTAGGCATTGGATGAGATATACATCCTCATTCTTTGTCCATAAGTGGTTACCTATTAATGAGTTTTGTATTCTTTTTCTAGATGTATTTTTTTACAGGAAATCTTTAAGTGTCACTAGATGAAGACATTATGATATCCTAATCATATGGTTAGGTATTATGCAACAAAATGCATATCAAATCAAAAACCAACGAAGATGAACATATAATTAGTGTAGGAAGTAAACCAAGAGACATGAAAATAAAAAAATATTGTTGTAAACAACAATCAAATACATCGTATACTTATCAAGAAATAAAAAAAAAAATCTAAAACAAAGGTAGAAAACAAATAGTACACTCAACTACGTCATACAAACATCAATTTAACCAATAAAACAAGAAAAAAAATAATGTCATTAACCCTAGGATTACAACCAATTCGCATACATCTCCTGTGCCAAATTATCTCAAAATTAAGTATAAACATTAATTGGCTCAACATACCTAATCAAATCTTGATGTTTAGATCCATTTGATTAGATATTACTTTTTTCAACAACATTTGCAAAACTACAAAATTATGAAAAAGGCAGCAAACAAAAATGATTCAATACTGTACTTTTATTGGATAAAATGACATCTCTTTTAAAATTACCCATCTAGCTTTCAGTATACCAAAACATCTCTAATACAATTTTTTGCTTGAAAGCGTTTCATATTGAAGTATTCTTGGGGTGTCAACGATTGTTATCCTTACCTTTAATCATTCAAGTGGTATTTTTGATCTCTATAAGGTGCAAAAAAATCTTTCCTATTTATGTATCTTGTATCACACAAATAATAACCTATTGCAGTGTCACAATATTAATACACATAAAAAAATATGTTTCATGGAAAATTAAAACTAAAATATTAAAGCTAATACCTTATAGGATCCTCAACAATTTCTATGTGTAATGGCATCCTTAAACACTCTGCCATCTGCTGTAGAACTTTTTTATCCTAGTAGAACAAATATGAATTGCATATCTAGTGTGCAAACACCAAGAACATCAGTAGTAATTTTATTTTATCTTGTCCTATATCTAAGCCTGTCAATTAAGTCTACATTCACCTTTATATATGTTTTATCTAAGTCACATAAACAACCTTTGAACCATTTCTATCTATTATCTATTGAATTTTTTTATATCGATTCATGTTTTTTAAACAACAGGGAAAGCAATCTCAAAACAAAATTCAACATAACATAAAATTGCCTAATAGTTGTTTCTTCAGATCTAGCTACTTGACATTTTATAACCCCATCTTTTGTATGATGTGCAATAATGTGGAAGAAGTTAGTAACTAGTTCTTCTATTGACATATATCTAGATGCCTGTAATCCTTTTTATGTTTGAAGTAATGGATATAATTTTGTAAAATCTTTCTTATCCATTCTACAATTATCTATACTCTATCTATTGCTCTCAAAAACCATTTTGTTTATGTTTAACTTCTTAATCAACATCCTATCATAAGTGTTATTAGTATAAGATAGTCTACATCTTTTTCTAAATTTAATTACAAGTAATGTTATAGCAACAATAAGTAACAGTTGAAACATTATCTCCGCCTGATTTAATTGCAAAATAAGCACTCTTACTAGTTACATATTCTTTCTTATTGATAAACGAGCCATAACTGTTTAGAATAAAGATTTTCGTTAATGTTGAAAACATATGTCGAAAGCAAATATGTGCATTTTGTTTATGGGATCTAAGACACGTCAAACAAAAAAAAAAAAAAAAACCAACAACAAAACACTTGTGAATCAAGGACTAAAAACAAAATGATAGATCTATATTAATGTTGTCAAGATCTAGACGAGATTTAAATAAATAAAATAAGATTTAAACAAATAGATCTACATCTTTTTAATCAAAATCTAAACGAGATCTAAACAAATAAAATAAAAAGACATTTGATTCAAATAAATAATGCAAAATAGATCATTTGTAACGGATAGTTGATTGATCATTTACTGATAAATAAAAGATAAAGTGAACAGCATAAAGATGATATCACGAAAGTTAAAGCTAATTTGGTTGAAAAAGAAAATGCTTCGATTAGAGTTCAATGATGTTGTCTGAAAGGAAAAAGTAGTCTTCGTTATTAAAAAAAAGTTATTTAACTTTTTGAAAGTGGTTTTTGTTACCTAAAAAGATCTGTCATTAACAATTACAATGTTTCTTATGTCAGAAACATAGTATTAAAAGCAAAATGATAAAATATTACATAGGTGATAAATTAATTGAATCATAGCAACCACAACATTTTGGTTATGAAAAACTTTGTGGTTGCTAGTTTTGTTAGTCGTAATAAAATTTTTTTTATAAGCAACTATGACGTATTGTTCATGAAAAAAGTAGTAGTTAAATGCTACTATGGTGTTGTGATCATAAAAAATGTCGTGGTTGCTTGTTTCGTTCATGAAAAAAAATTAATCAACAATTAAGGCATTTGGTTCCTTACAAACATCATATTTGATAATGAAAAAAAATAGTACTCAAATATTACGTTAAGCTTCCAAAAAACATAGTATTTGAGCTATTTGTTTTTTAATATAACATTTGTAAATAAAAACTTATTATTATGTTTTTTTTTATACATTGGTTTTCAAAAAGGTAAAATAGAGCGATATAATTTTTTATTCAGGTCAAATATATTAAAATAATAAATTTTCTTCTAGAATGCTAAAAAAACCATAAGAATAAGGGGGTTTTTGATTTTGAAACTTTTGAGTATTGTTGGGAATCTAACATTAATCGTTGGAATAAGATACCCATGAATCAAATGTGGGAATCACATTCTCACAAGTAAGATTCTAGAAAAAAATATCAGATTTCTCCAAACTAAATGTCCTTTAAATGTAATTGAATAAATATAAAAAAGTATTTTCATAATTTTAATAAAAGATGACACAAAATGCCATATGTCAGCTTTTTATAAAAGAATTTTTAAAAGCATTAATGTAATTTTGATGCGGTTTACTTTAAATGTATTTATTATTTATATAAACTTGTAATTCATTTAAATTGATAAAAATTCATTTATGAATTTAAATTAGAGAATTTTAAATAGGTATTCATGAACCACATAAAATTAGAAAAGAATATTAGAGTTATTTAGTTGAAATTAATCATTAAAGTAATTTATATTTGACTAAAATAATAAAAAATCTTTAAATTTTATAGCTTTATTTCAATAAGTATTTATATTTTTATTATATTTAAATAAGTTTTTAATTTTTAATTTACATCCAAATAAGTCTTTAACTTTTAATTTGTATCAAAATAAATCTTTAAATTTTTTATTTGTACTTAAATAAGTTTTTAACAAAAATCTTTTTTTTTTCATTTAAAACATAAGTTTATTTGGATATAAATCAAAATATAATGATTTATTTGAATATAATAAAAATATAAAATTTATTTAAAAAATAAAATAATTCAAATATTTTTTTTTTGGTATTTTAACTTTTACTATTTTATACATATTTGAAATAGACAAAATTTTCAGATAAAAAGAAAGAAAAGACAAATTTAAATGCAAAGAAAAGTGTGAAAAATATTCATGTTATAAATTATCTTTAAATTATAATAAAATATTTAATACGATATCTGAATTTTAAAAATATATTTAATATAATATTTGAATTATGAATCTATCCATTAAAATGATATTTATGTTTAAATTGATTAATTTTAAATGATAATAAGTAATGAATAAATAATTTTTTAAATATTATATTAATTAATAAATTTATAATTTTAATATTATAATAAAAAATTTTAAAATTTAAATATTATATTAAATATTTTAGAGCAATTGAAGGGTACATTAAAAACAATAAATAGTTGCTGCCACAGCCATATTGACCTTAGAAGAGAGAGGCCAAAAAGCAGCCCTTCCTGTTTAATGCTGCTACTCATTATTGTAGACAAATATATAGGCTAGGATTTGCACTTTTAGTGGAATTATTTATTTTTGGTGTCCACATATGTTGTTTACTTATTAATTGTTGATGACAAGCGAAACGGATTAGACCACGGAAGAACCTTTGATGCCCGTCAATCCCGAATTTCTTGTTGCCCAGACCCAGAAGGCCGGAACCCCATCCAGCAATTATGGTTTCTGTTTCTGTTCTAAAATATCAGTAACTGATCACTCCCAGTTCCAGTCGTTGTTCCTTCCCGTTTTCTTTATCCTGCAATCACTTGATTGATGTGACTCTGACTTCCTCTTCTACTAAACGAGCGATCCACGGTTTCCTTTATCACTCCAATTCTCGTGAAGGCTGAAAACCAATCATGATGCAAGTCGAAATCCAGTCAATGAACCACGGAGCAGGCTTGGATCAACGGGCTTCTAGAGCCATGGGCCAAGAAAACCTTGCCAAGTCCCCGGACCACCAATCTCAACAACTCCCTATCACGATCAACAACCCAAAAACACCAAAACAGTTAAGTCTTATCCCTCTCATCTTCCTCATCTATTTTGAAGTTGCTGGCGGCCCCTTTGGCGAAGAGCCAGCAGTCCAAGCTGCAGGCCCCCTCTTGGCCCTTCTGGGGTTCCTCCTGTTTCCTTTTATCTGGAGTATCCCTGAAGCTCTCATCACAGCGGAGCTTTCTACTGCTTTTCCTGGCAATGGAGGCTTTGTTATTTGGGCTGAACGTGCTTTTGGTCCATTCTTTGGCTCGCTGATGGGATCTTGGAAATTCTTGAGTGGTGTCATTAACATCGCGGCTTTTCCAGTTCTGTGCGTAGACTATCTGGAGAAGATTATTCATCCTTTGGAGTCAGGCTGGCCTCGGCACATCTCTATTTTGATTTCAACGATGGTATTATCTTTTGTAAACTATACTGGATTAACTATTGTTGGTTGGGCTGCTGTTTTGCTAGGTGTTGTTTCGCTTTTGCCTTTCATTATAATGTCTCTCATAGCAATCCCCAAGATCCAGCCCCATAGATGGCTCAGTTTAGGTCAGAAAGGTGTGAAAAGAGATTGGAATCTGTTTTTCAATACCCTTTTCTGGAATTTGAACTTTTGGGACAATGTTAGTACTCTTGCCGGAGAAGTAGATAAGCCCCAGAAGACGTTTCCTTGTGCTCTTCTTGTGGCAGTGATTTTCACTTGCATAGCCTACCTGGTTCCACTCTTTGCGGTCATCGGGGCTGTTTCTGTTGATCAAAGTGCTTGGAAGGCTGGATTTCATGCTGACGCTGCAGAGATGATTGCAGGGAAGTGGCTAAAATTCTGGATTGAAGTGGGTGCTGTGTTGTCAGCAATTGGTTTATTTGAAGCTCAATTAAGCAGCTGTGCGTATCAACTCGAGGGTATGGCAAATTTAGCCATTTTGCCCAAATTTTTTAGTAGCAGATCCAAATGGTTCAATACTCCTTGGGTGGGGATACTGCTTTCAACTTTGATCACAATTGGTATGTCAAATATGAATTTCACAGATATCATATCATCAGCAAATTTCTTGTACAGTTTGGGAATGCTCCTGGAATTTTCATCTTTTATTTGGTTGAGGAGAAAGCTGCCTGAAATAAAAAGACCTTACAGGGTTCCTCTGAGGATTCCAGGACTGGTTGTCATGTGCTTGATACCATCAGCATTCCTTGTAGTTATTATGGTTTTTGCCACTAAAATTGTGTATTTGGTTAGTGGACTGACAACTGTGGGCGCCATTGGATGGTACTTTCTGATGAACTTTTGCAGGAAAAAGAAGGTATTAAAGTACAACATTGTTGAAGGTGAAGAAAGATGATCAAGATAGAACTCACCAAGGGAAATGCATAAGGAAATGACACATCAAGTCTTTTTTATCAGCAAACAATCAATATAATTAAAGTGGGACATTTGGTGCGGCCAAACATTTGATTCACATGTGTGTACATTTGATTAAATGATAAGACATGTATCTACCGCTCAAAGTACCGGATTTTGTCTCCCCTCTCCCAAAAAATAAAAAAAGAAAAAGAGTGAGGCATTTGCCTTTAAGTTTGTGAGGGATCAGTAGTGTATGAAAAATAAGCTTGTTAAATGCCTAGTACATGGAATCCTGCTTCTTTACCCATTTCAGTCTTTTGCTGTGTTTTAATCCACTCTTATGGAGACTTTCTTAACTGAGGGAAGGTAAAAAAAAAATAAAAGAAAAGGTGGAGTGAAGTAGCTTGTTCTTGGAGATGTGAATCTTAGAATTCCATTTTTTATTTAAATGAAGATGTAAATGAATATTATATTATGAGAATAAAAATGAGAACGGTAATATAATATAAATTTTTTATTAGACATATATATAGTAAATATATTTTTTATTAAATAATATAAATTATTATTTTAAATTAATTAAAATTAATATATTTTTATTTAAAAAATATTAATATACATTGATAAAAAATTACATAAATATATAAAATAAAATTAAAAATAATTAAAAAAATAAAATTTTCTCATCATATTAAAAGAGAATCAAATTATTTTTTAAAATAATAATCTTGTCATCCAGTAATTTAATATAAGTGTTATGAAAATTTTCTGGAATAATATCAATCGTTATAACATAATTATTAAATACAAACCATTATAATTTTTAAAATGATTCTTTCGTATCAAACACCTTTTTTTTTTTTTTTTTTAATTATGAACAATAGGCCAATATCAGTTGCATATAAGCTGTTTTTCATACTTTGTCTAATCGATTAGGCTAAATAAATTGTTTTTCCTAGTTTGTCAAATCGATTAGGCTATCAGGCTGGAAATGCGGCAGCAAAGAATTCAGCGTATAGCAGGTAAGAAAGATCCGGATCCCAAATTTCATGACTAAGTTGCATCCCCCTTTGGAAAGTTATTTAATACTACTACAAGGTTAGGCTTTCAAAACATAATATTCTATTCCAAGCATATTGGGATCAGATTTCTTATGAGTGATTACAAATGTCATCATTTGCTAAAGGTTGTTTGTTTTTGTTTTTAATTTTTAATTTTAATTTTTAATATTTTTAAAAATTAAAAATAAAGATATATTTAGTTGATTTTTTTCTGTTTTTAAAAATTAAAAATAAAATTTTGAAAAATTTTAAAAATTATTGAAAATAGAAAAAATTATGTTTTTAATTTTTTAAAAATAATTTAGCATTGTTACCACACAAGCACTGTTTATAAAAGATTATGATTAAATAGTTATAGTGATGTTATAATTATTATACTAATAAAATAATATTTTTATTATATAAATATTATATTAATAAAGAACATATTATTTATTTATTAATATAATATTTGTTAATATAATATTATTTACTTGTTAATATAATATTATTTATCAATATATTATTTTTATATATTATATTATAAATAATATATTAATAAATAATATTATAATATATTAAAATAATATATTGATAAATAAATAATATTATATTAATAAATAAATAATATTATATTAATAAATATTATTATATTAATTATATTATATTATTAATAACAAAAGAAACTTAAAAATTTTAATAATTTTCTCTTAAATATTTTTGTTTTCACATTTTTAAAACAAAAATATTTTATTAAAATATATTTTCAAATTCAATAAATTAAAAATAAAATAAAATAAAGTATTTAAAAATATAAAATATAAAATATAAAACATAAAACATAAAACGTAGAATAATACCAAATGACCCCTAATTAACTCTCTCTCCTTTAAAAGAAAACATAGTATCATGAAAGGCTTAAACTAACTAGCAAATCCATCTAAAAAAATTGCACAAGTCAGAAGTTCTTTAAGGCTAATCGGTATCTATACCATATATAATATTTTATAATTTTATAACATTAAAAAAATCCACAAAGAATTAATAGCCAGCTACCTGTCTAATGTTTTGAAATAACCATTTTACCTGTCTAACGTGTTATGAAATAACATGTGATATTTAAAAATATATTTTTTATTTTATATATATAATAAAAAATAAAGAAATAACTAAAAAGTTACCAAAAAGCAGTAGAAAAATAAATCCAAATTGATCTAGAAAATTAAAATACAAATAATGAAAAATCGAAAAATTAAAAAAAAAAACACAAAAAAACCACATATTGAAGCCTACTCTATAAAAAAAAAAAAAAAAAACTTTTACCGACAAATCCTCGACACATACCACTACCCATCATCACCGTAGAAAAAAATTGAATAACCACCACAACGTAGACAAAAATCACGAAAAACCATCTTCAAATTCATATTCAATCAAAAACAATAATTTACATAAAAAAATTGAAATAAAATAGAAAGTTGAAATTTTTAGGGTTTGCTTTCTGTTCGGGGGAATTTGAGAAGATCTACGGTTACTTGAAAGGATTGAAACATAAAGAAAGGATAAAGGAAGAAAACAGAGGAGGTGTTAGGTTTTAAAATTGCGGCTATGATTATAGATTTTTAGCGAGGAAGTCCAAATTTTCAAATATAGATTTAGGCCTATAGGAGAAGATTTTAAAGAAATTGAACTGAGAAAGAGAAAGAAGAGCCTAAAAAAAGTTAGAAGAGGTTTTTTTAAAGTTTTTTAGTAACATCGGACAATGGCGGAGTTAACGGCAGAGTTCCTAGAAAGAGACCGGGAGAGAGTGTCAAAATGAGAGAAAAATTATTTTATATCTGGGGTTTAGAAAAGCTAGACAAAAGGAAACAATTCAAGTGGATCCAACCCAAAATTTTCGGCCATCAAATTTTGTACCTAATTATCATTAGATGGTTTATAAATTCATTTTTAATCAAATATATAATAACAATATTTTATTTATACTATTTTTTATAATATAAAAAATGAAATTAATGAAAGCATAAACTTAATTTGCTTAATTGGGATTAGATAATACATTAGAAATATTTTTATTTTATATATATAATATATTTATTGTACAAAAATGATATAATACAAGAAAATTATGTTCATGCTTAACTTTTTTTTTAGTTTAATTTTTGAAAGATGGATATTGAAAACTAAATCTTTTATAAGCATATGTGTAAATCTATCATTAGGTAAAATGTTTAAATACTTTTTTTATTTTTTACCTTATTTTTTATTAAGATAAGTTTTTGAAAATTTTAATTAAATATATCAATTAAAATAAAAAAAATATATATAAATAGTTTAAAAATTAAAAATAGTTGCATAAAAAATTGTTATCTTGCAACGAAGTGCGAGAAAGCTTCTCGTTCAAATTGACAAAGTGGTTCAAGCTCTCACTTATAGACATAAAGTGTAACTACCTAGTGTTCAACTAATGCTTTACCATTGAAATCCATTAGCTAATTTTCAACTAAAATTAGCAAAATGCATTTTTTGGTAACCTTTGTGTTTCTCAATAAGAAGATCCATAAAAACATGTTAGAAAGACTCATTAGATATAGTGGTGGATTTAGAATTTTTTTGAGTGTCTATTTATAATTATAATATAAACAAAATATGTAAACAAAAATTTAGAGTGCATTTGGTTTAGGGGAATGTATAATTTTTTTTTCGAAATCTTGATGGTAAGTATTTGTTTCCTATATTTGGTTTAGGGTAATCTAATTATAGGAGAAAAAAATCACATTTCTAATAGTATCAAAGTCCTAAAATCAGAAACTCACTTCTCTTTGTGGTAATTTTTAATTTTAAGGAAAAAAGTTACCTTATTTCCCAATTTAACTTGAATAAAAAATTTGTCACATATATGTTATCCTGTTGAAAAGTAAGTATAGAACTCAGTTTTAGATTTTTTAAAATTCAATTGTGGCATTTTTTTAAATAAGATGCCATAAATGGTACAATTTTTTAGTTTGATAAATATTCAAGTGGCTATTAGGGCATTTCATTGGAGAAACACCTTAATTGATTATCAATTAAGGTGCTGCTTCTTTGAAACACCATAATTGCCAAATATTAATCTTTTGTTTTCCTTATCATAAGCCATGTTCTACATAATTGATTATCAATCATAGTTTGATAAAGATTCAAGTGGCTATTAGGGCGTTTCATTAGACAAATGCCTTAAGTCATTATCAATTAAGGTATTTTTTTTTGAAACGCCATAACTGCCACATTAAATTTTTGTTTTCCCTATCGAAAATTGTATTTTGATATTATGAACATTGTAGTATCTAATTAAATTCAGATGAACTAACATTTAATACATCAAGTAATGCATTTCTATATATGAAAATGCCTTAATTGATGTCTTTATCATGTTTGAATAACCAGACACATTTTTTTTTTTTTTTATTTCAACATATCAGAGCTCAAAGTAAATACTTTTGTATTTTAGCCTACTTCAGTTTCAACATTCATCATTTAATCTTCGTCCTGTTAAATTTATTTGTGTTTTTTTTTCAATAAACGATGTGTATATTATTTGATACCTAATTATCTATTCTACATTATTTGTTACATTCCAATCTTTTTTTTTCTTTTTTCATCTTTTTAGATGTCATTTAGATCTGGATTGAACTATATTGATATATCAAATGTGTAATTCATTTTGGTTTTAGCTCCTTCATCCACAAATGTTTTGTTGATAGTTTATATTTTCCTTTTTTATGTTTAATAGATTCCATGTACCATATGCAAATATTTACTTTCCAATTATGTTTTCAACTTTAATGAGATTCTGTCTTTTAAGTAGTTATAGCTTGTTTATCACTAAGAATGAATATGCAAGTGGTTACATTACTTATGGTGCATTTGAACCAGATGGAGATTTTGTTGCATGTGTTATGTTTTATTGCTATGATTTTATTTGATATGAACCTTAGAAAATGACATAAACTATCTTATCAAGGAATATCTTATGATAAGCTACATATGAGAGAGCTAAACTTAAATGCAATAGTTTTTAGAGCAGTAGACAGTGTATATATAATACTATAATGGATAAGAGAGCTTTTGGAAAATTATATCATTTGTTTCAAATAGAATGGGGATTATAGGCATATAAACATATGTCAATAGAAAAATTGGTTATCAGTTTCCTCCACATCATTACCTATCATATAAAAAATAGGGATATGAAGCATCAACTACCTAGATCTGAAGAGACGATTAATAGGCAATTCCATTATATGTTAAATTTGTTTTAAGACTGCATAAGCTATTGTTTAGAAAACCTGAATCGATATCAG